AGAATGTATGTGTGTCCAGCTTCGAGGAAAGCTTCGATAAGAAACTGTGAATGGATGTCACCACCATCATCATCATCAGTCACCAAATTCTCAGTAGGAATTGATGGATCAAAAGAAGTATCATAAAAAAAGCCCATAGTATCGAGATCACTATCGGTCGTGAACGTGTAAGTACCAGAGGTAGATACAGTGACTTGAATAGCTTGATAGTAATAGTAATATTCTGGATCACCAGAGACTCGTTGAAATACTCCACTACTTGACGAAAGTGAACTTGAATAGGACGATGAAGTTGTAGGTACAATAGATGCTATAAGAAATGAAAACAGTTACTTGTAAAATTGATTAAAATGTGCTCCCGTCAATGAAGAATAGACAGTGATTCGCCTCGTTCGAAATGCGATATTGTTAGTCTTTGAACTCTTCTTGGTCTTTCGTTTTCTAGCTTACTCTTTCTTCAATACAACACCATTTTGTAGAAAGAAAAGTGAATGAGACAGAAAGCAGAGGAGAGTTCTGCATTCTGACGATAAATAAACGAAATTCAGACAGAGGACATCGTCATACAAGTTTCCAAAATACTATTGGGAGCATGTTTTTTATTTTCATGGAAAGTACTCGTGAAAAAACTCACGTATTATCATTGGTTGACTTGTTGTTGGTGTGATCGACATAAGATCAACACTGGCTGGACCAGTGGCTGATATCAAGAAACTTCCCGTGTCAGCATTTCCATGCGTTGTAACAACCAGAATGTATGGATGTCCAGCTTTGAGGAAAGCTTCAATTTGAAACTGGAAACTCATGTCACCGCTATCATCATCATCAGTCACTAAATTCTCAGTCGGAACCGATGGATCAAAAGAAGTATCGTAAAAAAAGCCCATAGTATCGAGGTCACTGTTGCTTGTGAAAGTATAAGTACCGGATGCCGGTACAAAAACTTGAATAGCTTGATAGTAATAGTAATAGTCTGGATCATCGTTGAGTCGATAAAATATTCCGCTATTTAATGATAGTTCGCTTGAATAGGACGATGAAATCACAGGCTCATTGGTTTCTTCAAAATGAATAAAAGGCAATGTTTGATAAATCGAGCTTCCAAGACAACCTTCCTACGTATTCTCTACAGTACGAGATTCTCAACTATAAAGCTTTTATGCAAGAGCTATTTGTTGACGTACACAATCCTAAAGGAACCCGATAGAGAAGCTGTCCTTTGACTCATTTTGTTTTTTTTTGACAAAATAACCTTTTTAAAAAAGATTATCACTCAGATGTGGATTGGAAAATTTCGAAAGTGTTGTTCTTACTCCGCTATTCGATTCATTCTGTCAAAGAAACATTCATGAATTCTTGTTAGAAAAAGCTTGTTCTTACCTAAAGCCATTAGCAACATAAGGTAATATTTTTAGGATCTCACATTGAACTTACTAATATACGTCAATCGAATTGATAATCGATCGTTTATGTATAACTTTTATTCGCATGTAGGTCCCTATAATCTGCATGTTTATTTTCTAAACTTATCATTGACTTTTATTTGGCTAAATGAGATTCCCTCATTATCAATAACATTAGCCATAATCATTGTAATATTCTTCATAGTTTCACGAGATAATATGAAATTTGTCCTCAACTGTCATGCATTTCATGAGGGGCATTGTTTTGTCCCATCTATGAACTATCCATTGTCCGGAAAACAACATGAAGACTTCCAATAGAGTGTACAAAGAAAAAGATATTCTAAAATTGATGCTTCAGATAATCTTTCGTCATTTTTACAGAAATACCGAATAGAAGAAAGACTTGTTCGCATCAATTTCATTCAACAAAGAACATACCAAGTTTCTCAGAACTGGTTCCATCGGAGGCGATAGCTTGTACCGAATCTTCCAATGATGGAGAGACCTAAATGAGTTTTAAAGTAATGATTAGAGCAAGAAAACGAGAAACTAACCGGAATCCCATGAGCCACAAATACTAAGCACAACCCAAGGAGGGCAATGATAATGGTGTTCATGATTCTTCAATGTCTATGAAACAAAAAAAAATGTGATTGATATTATTTGCTCGAACGATATATCAATTTATAGTAGGCACTTCAGCAGGCATCATTCCATGTATTCAGTCGTCGATCCCTAATCGAGGCTTCTATTTTTAAATATAGGATAGTATTTCAGTGCCATCAAACTATCTGACAGATTCTGCTTTTGTGATTGGAATAAAAAAAAGTACGATATCAAGTTTCATAGCTTTCTTTAGTTCGAGAATATTCTGTCAATCAAAATGTAAAGCTATCAACATTGTGAATATTGAAATGGTTAGTGCAATTTTTCTAGTATAATTCCTATTGATATAATAAATCCACCATGAAATGTGATAGGTGCGTAATTAAAAAATGCTCGTATGCCCCACTCACATGATGTGACTTAAGTTAGAGCAGCAGATGGGTCTAGCTTGTGGAATTGATGAAATTCAGAACTATTACCGAGTTTTAAAAATTGTCATCTACCACTTTTGGATAATTTCTAATCAGTTCAAGCTGTCAAGTTGTGATTTTCACCATTTGATACAGTGACCTTAGGAAAGTCTATCTATATACGATTCATTGGGATGATAACCTCGCTTCATTGTTCTTTTCTGACCAACATACCTTTCGACACCTGATTCCCAAGATTCTCACAATTATGTTGATTCAAAATTAAATCGAAGCGTCGCCCGTCAATTGTTCGATCTTGGGTAATATTTTGAGATCATGCTCTCATATTGTTGAAAATGAGACAATCCTTACTGAACGACTCAGAAAATTTTTCAGGTATGAGGTAAAAGCTAATCATGCATCGACGCGGAACTCTTCACTCATGCAAAATTTCATGATAACATTTTCTTATCAGTTAGAAGTTTTTGAATGCTAGTTCTTCATATCCTAGCCATGTTTTTAGGACTGACACTCACCTAATCAAGAATGCATCTACTTTTCAGGATTCTAGATTGATCTTATTCATATTTGGCGTGGATGTGGATCAGAGTGAGTAAAAGAAGACACTCACATCCATATCTGCATCGATAGTCATACTGACAGCCACCCCCGCACATCCGCACACGTGTCCATAGCTACATCAACATGCATCCATCTACACTGTCCAAGCAAACTCCATCCATAGACATACCTTATATTTAACTAACAACCGCGCCCATTGCCGCATTCAAACTCAAACTAGAATTAATAGCAAGACTCGTGCTGCACGCTCACATTCACACCCCAAATCTGCAGCCACACACA